TTTATTTTGAATGAATAAGATATGTCCCAAGTAACAAAAGCTGTCAACACAGTATTTCTTCAGGTAACTGTTCTGTACTAGCTCAACTGGCTCCTCTTTCAGGCAGTTTACATCCAGCACAACTCTTATCAAAAGTATTTGCATGTGATTGAGTGAACAGGCACAACCTGGCTGTGGAACAGCCAAAATTACTCCTCATGAAGATTACTCTTGCCTTCCTTTTTTAATTTTTTTTTTTTTAAATATACTTCCAAGTTGAAGCTGTTTGAATTTCTGATGCATTTTATGCTGTGTTACCCTACTGCAAAGCTTCATTGTTAAGTTTTGTTGAACCTCAGTTTTAACAAAAAAATTTCCTTGGATTAGAGCTTTGAATTATACTTCTGATTTGAGGAGGTGGGTTCTCTATCTTTTCCCCCCTTTTCTTTTAAAATTCACTTTCTGTTTCAAGCAGGCAGTGGGAATTAAAAAGCAGAATTACAAACCAGATTTTCTATTGCAGTGTACTGGTATCAGCAGTGAGATTATGCTAGCAGAGGATTTGGGACAGGGGAGTAATTTTGCTTTCATTGGAAAAGCCTGCCATCAGCTTTAAGAGAGTCAAGGCTTGCTTCTAGAACTTAAGCAGTCTATCAGTGTGCTCTGTAGATTTTCTCAAAGGGATGCATAGACTTTCAAAAGACAACATTATAGTGTCTCATGCAACTCTGTGCCTCCTAACTGAGAGGAAGTGGGTTTGGTAAGGAAGCAAAAGTGAGGATTTAAAAAGTTTTGATCTTTCTCTTTCTTTCTTTGAATCTTGAAGCCTAACTTCACTATAAATTCCCAGTTCTGTCTGACATCTCAGGAAGTTCTGTCTGGAACTTAAAGAAAGCTGTAAGCCAGCACCCGTGGTCTGGGTTTTATGTGACTGCATTAGCAGAGTGATCACAGTGCTGAGTGTGAAGGCAGTGATACAATTGTGCATCAGGAGGAAAAAGCTGGGGGAAGCATATTTACTATTCATCAATGTGCTGTCTGCTATTCTTATGTTTCTTACTGTAAGCAGCTAGTAGTGCTGGCTTGTCTTTTAACATAAAACGTTGGACAAGGACAGTGATTTACTGGATAATGAACAAAAACACCTGTAGTTTTACATGAATCACTATGCTAATAGCATAATTTTGGAGACAGAATTTGGCACCTATTTCGATCTGAATTTGAACCTTGTGTAGCATCATTCAGTTGCTCTCCACTTCTGTTACCTTAAGATAATTTCAGACTATTTAGCACAAATCTAAACATGATTAACAAGGTCTAGAGTATATAATCCATGCTTCAGGAAGGTGGAAAAAGATGGTGTTATTGCTTCCTGCTTTCATTATATTTTCATCATTAGTACATAACTCACATTAGCAGAAGCTAGCCTATCTTGAGTTTGTGAAAACTTGAATGATCTGTATTACTTTGAAACTTTGCAGTGAAATCAACAGTGAAAATTACTTCTATTTGCATACATGTTTAAAAGAGTGAAAGGATGATAAATACTTATAGAAATATTACAGGATGCATTTTCCTTTTAAGACATTCAAATATTAGGTGTGTAGGATCTTATTGAAACTGCAGTCTCATTCAAGAAGTGTATGTGTGAGAAAACAATTGTAGATCAATGCACACCCTTAAAAAATAAGACCTATGAAGTAATTAGAAAACATGGTCTAGAGTGAGTGGACAATGTTGGAAAGCATTTTAAAGACTCTTTTCCTCAGCATGCCTGCAGTTTCTTAAATGTTTGATATTAGCCATTTCTTCTTTTCCCTTTATTTTTAAATGTTAAGAGTTAGTTCAATTTGTAGGAAATTGTGTTTCAAATGTCACTTAAAAATAGGTACAAGTTTGGAAGTTGGAAATACCTAGAGAGAGGGTTCTTGTTTCTTGTTTTCTTGTATGGATTTGAATCTTTTGTGTGCTCCAGAGCAAGGAAAACAAAAATATACACCCCCTTTAAAACTAAACAACAAAAAAAACCCCCCACACAACTTGGGAGGGCTATATATTTTCATTCAGAGCTTCCACAGCACACATTTTAGACATGTGGAGCTCTGTTTTTAGTTTAATTTGTAAAAGATAATAAAGTGAGGCATAGAGCTAAAGATCATCAGGACTAATATTATGAGTTTTCATTAAGCTTAGGAAAGCAAAAAGTGTTCACTTAAAGCTCACCACGTGGTCTGACACTGTCCCTAACGGACCATGCTGATCTTACCGGATGGACTTTTCACTCTCCTCTGTATTTCTTTGCTTTTGTGTCTTTCATTCCAGCCTCTTGTGTCACTGTAACATAGGGTGCTTTTTTATTATTGTTTTTTTCTTTTGTGGTTTAATTGTATGAAAAAATTTTGTGCTGTGTTCTTGGAGCTGTACAGATGGTTCCATGCCAAACATATTTGTTTACCGTGGTAATGTCTGAGTTGTAGTGTGCCAGCTAATAAAGGGATTTATTTAAGGAACAAGGTGAATGACTAAAACAGATGTGCCAGTTGGGTGAACCATTAAAAGAATCTTACTTCTCATCTTTATGTAAAGGTTATTTTTAATGCATTTCTGAGAAATCAAGAGTGGTTGCAAGGATGTTTTTGAGACAGCTGAAAGCACCTTGTTCTTTTGCTTAGGGGTCTTCTGTGGGCTTAAGACACATTAGTCTTTCATCTACCTAACTGAAGAATTGCAAAGACAGCACGTACAAGTCCTGAGTTTCAACGTCTGATCAAGTATTATAATCTTATAGATTTTGTCATGTTTATAAATTGTATAATTCTGTATTTCGGTTGTGGGGAAACCTGTTTTAATATTTCTGTAATGTAAGTGTAAATTTATATAATGTAATACAAATATTTATGTTCATTCTATGGGAATCCCAGGTCAACCTGCTGTAGTAATTCTAAAACCTTCTGTATCTTTTCCCACACAAATATAAGGTACTCTGGTTTTACTAGAAAGTAAAACATTCTGGCTGGTAAGCAATTTTAACCAGGATTGATCTAAAAGTGTTTGAGAGAGGAGCTAAAACCATAAATTAAATGGTGTTTGCCCAAGCACTTCGTCTGTTGTACATCACATCGTCCAAGTGACTTTGAGAAACCTCACTGATTCTGCTGTTGTTGTTGATATTTTTGACTGGAATGTCTCCTCTTAGAATTTGGAAGACTTCTGTGAATTAGAATTTTGTAGTCTTGTTTCTTAGGTGTTGATCAATTCACTTGAGAAGAATCCTGGAGATAGTGGTAATGCTAAAGAGAAGGGTTGGGTTTTTGGGTTTTGGTTTGGTTTGTTTTTTTTTTTTTTTTAAGGCAAAAGCATTTTAGTAACACTTTTTTAATTTAGTTTTAGCTTGTTGGGTGTACAAAATATTTCCACTGAATTTCCTTTAATTTAGTAGACAAGTAAGGGCTAACTTGAAAGCCAAAAGAATAATTTGTTAATTCTGGTGCTTAAGTATATGGTTTGTTTTGAATTAAGCAAATGAGGGGCTACTTATAGCATATACTGCACTAAAGTTGATCACATATTTGTATGCTGTTTTGAATAACCATCGATTGTTGTGGTTTTTTAGGTATTTTTTCCTGAACCTGGGCTCAAAAAGATGAAAATGTAGTCTGTCTGTACCTGTGTGTTGCTGTTTGTTGCCTCTTTCTTTATATTTGGCTTTCCAGCTTCTAAGTCATGGGCCTTATTTATTTCATGTTCATGGCACCGGGCAGAAGCAAATCTGTGTTCTCTCATTTTTTACTTACATGACTGAGTAATACAAGTAGTATTACTGCCTCTTGTACGCTCCTACCTAGTGGCAGTATTTCTAGTTTAGAAATAGCCATTTACATACGTGAAGCCTCTCTGGTATTAATAAAGGCAGAATTTTTTCCTTCATTAAAAAAAATTGAAATAGTGGCTTTCCCATTTTAGGTTAGTTGTGTTTTTGTTTAATCCTAGTACTGAAAAAAATCCAAAGAGAGCACAGTAGTCAATGTTAGCGTTTTCAGTTGGTTCCCATCCAGACAAATTTATCAAAGGCTGTCTGTTTGTAGGCAGTGATGGTAATCTGATCTGAGCTCATCTGAACTTAAGTAAAAATAAAAAAAATGTACCCCTTGATTAAACATTGCAATTAAGGATTTTAGGGGGCTTGGTTTTGAGATGAAGCATCGATCTCATAGCAGTATGTTTGGTATTAAATTAGAGAGCCATTGCAAGGCAATTAGATCACCTTTCTTGTGATTTCGGAGCTCTATTCATTGTCTTTATTTAGAAACGAAGAAAAGGCTGCTTTGAATTGTAGCTTCCTTGATTATCTGAGGTTTAGGCAGCATGTCAAAGCATTTAAAATACAAATCTGACAACACAGTATTATGGCAGGGGGGAGTATCATGTCTCCAATTTGTGTCTGTACACCAATCCAGTAAGCACATGGCATTTCTTTCAGTCATGAGACACCTGCCCCATTAAGGTGAGGATGGCTGTATTTATTTAAGAAAAATAAAAATTTACTGAAGGAAGAAGTTTTTGTAAATACCTAGAAGTTCATAATACCTATATCCTGTCAATTTTGACAAGAAAAAGACAACTGAATCCCATAAAGTTAGCTCCTGCAAAGCTGTCTCGTTTAGCAGTTACTTCAGTTTATCCTGTTCCAAGGTGGATTTCAGCCCAGACTTTGTTTAGGATTAAGAACCTCTTGACAGGGTTAAGATGTAAAATGTTTAGCTGACCTGATCAACCTTGACATTGCACCGACTGAAACTTGCATTTTACATAGCTTCCACATGCTGTCTTCGTTGTTGAAGGACCATGTTTTGAATGCAAGGCAATGCAGTGTGACTGGATATAAATTGAGTTTGACTTGAAATAAGTTCCTTCTCTCCTTTGCTGGAGAAATACTGAATTGTTTTTATTTGTTGGGTATGTTGAAGGTATTTGATCTTATACTTGATTAATAATTTTTTTCTTTCTTTTCACCACTGCAGGCCATATACACCTATGAAAGGAGCCTTTTCCACTGTGTGGTTTGACAGGTATAAGATCTCTAATGACTGTCCAGAACACATTGAAAGTATTGATTCTATGTGCCAGGGACTTACGGCCTTGATCAACGATGAGGTTAAAAATGGCATTGCAAAGAATCGGATACTAATAGGTAAGAGAGACTTATTTTTAATGTGTTTATTTTAGTGGTTTTTAATTGTTAAGAGATCATCTACTTTGAATTTACTCCATCCTGAAAGCTCATAAGCCTGCCTTGCAGCTGCTGAACAGCTTTATCTGCAGTCGTCAAGAACATTGAATCATTGTTTAAACCTGTATCAGCTGGGGAACATGACTAACTGTAAGCAGTGTCCTCAAAAATGTAACTTAAAACTGTTTTTATTGTAAATAGTCATTTGTAATTGTTGTTTAAAATACAGAGTATGCAGCAATTTACTTTAACAAGTACATATTTTGACTATTTCCTTTCAGCCCTTTTAAAGGATAGAAAAGCATACTTTCTCAAAATGACTTGTATTTTGGCGTTGGACATGTAGTGTATAAGTAACCATGAGCTTTTTATTACTGCTCTAATAATTTTGGGTTAATTTAGGGGGGGAAAACTTTGCATGTTACACATCACTAAAGTTTAATGCTTGATAACAAAAATGAAGTATTAGCTGTCATCGTTCGTATGTGTCTATCTTCCTGTCCCTCTTAATTTCTACAAATTTCCAGTAACTTTCACGGTACTTATAGATAGTGGGATGTTGAGGGCAGTGCAGTAGCCTGTGTCATAGAGGGAATGAGGATTCTTGAGTCCGTGGCTCCCTGTCCCATCCCTAGACCACAAACTCTTTCAGGTTGGGGAAAAAACTCTCAATGTGGGAACTTATAAATTTATGGACAATTGAGTAATGCCATCAGAAGTCCTGTGTGGTGGAGCCATTACCATTCAGCCACTACCATTCAGCCTACATTTTCTTGCTCCAGCCCCACGTTGCTCTTTGAAGGCCTCTATTTACATTCTCTGTCTGGCTCATTGCCCTGGCTGCAGAATGCATTGTTTTAGATGGCTGTCAGCACAGTCTCTTTGATCTGTCTTTCCTGTGTTATACCTGCTGGCTTGGAAACAGCTAAAGAAGCACAGGTGCTTTTCTGCAGAGTGAGCTGTGAGATGTTCTGTGTACAGATCCAACTTGCCTCTAGGCTTTTCTCCTTTCTCTGTAGCCTTCAAAATTAGAACTAATGAGATTGCAGAGTATGAAAGTTGTTTTACAAGTCATAAGCAGAGTGAGAAAGTTGGCATGCGCCGATTGTTTCAGCCTGTAGATTCTTTGGAAGTCCCCATCTCTGTGTGTTTGCATTCCTCATCTGTAAATCAGAAATAACTATACTTATTTTCTCACTCCTGAGAGCTTTGACTTAATGGTTCTAGAGTAAGGCACTATTTCCTTGCCCCTGACCGAGACTATGTGCATACATCCTCACAGCCAAATCTAATATTTGTGCAACAAGCGAAACAAGGCAGGCCTGAATTGGCTCCATCCAAAGTACAGAATGGGACCCAAGTGGAGGCATAAGAAATTCGCTAGTGGAAAATTAATTCTGTCACTTGTGACTGCACAAGATTCCGTGTTCTTTCACGAGAACTTTGTGCCTTCTCTGCACTGGTTTTGATGATTAACCATTGTGTGATGCAGTGGAGAATGAAGTTTAGAGATGCTGTAGGGTTTCTATGCATGAAGGCTGGGTTTAGTATCAGTCTGAGTCAGCCTAATGTGACATACTTGGTTATTTTAGATGGGACTTCATGCATATAGTTGCCCATCTTTTGGCATTGTTTCTTCCAGTAAATTAGGAATTCCATAAAGGCATCTGACAGCTTTACGAAATTTTTGATCAAAAGAGCATATGAGGGCAAGATTTGGTTTTGAAGATATAGTCAGTATGTCTACAACAAACTGTAATGTCCACTGGAAAAGGAGAAATAGGTGGCCTGAAATTTCTCTGAGTTTGGGAAAGATTTGTCTCTAGGAGATAATGGAAGATATGGTCACTTGCTTAGAATGTGAAAGAACTAAGTCCTGTCAAATCTTTTTAGGTTTCTCTTTGAAAAATTCAGGAGTATCCATCTGGTACAAGACAGGTAACAGGTTGGGAGCAGACAGTGGATTTGTGACTGCTGGTACAGTAGAGTTGGAGGAGGCAGCCTTCTTGAGGTAAAGGGAAAAGACGATTACAGCAGAGGAAACCATGGTGAAGTTTTGCTATGAGTATTTCCTGTGCTTTCAGTGATGTTGAGTCATGTTGGAGATCCATAATGGGAATACTGGTACATGTCTTATTATGGAAAGTAGAGACAAAATAGTTGAGAGAAGAGACTGGAGGATTTGGGAGTCTGTGAAGAGCAGTGGGGGTCTTTTCAGGTAGGTCATAGAGGCTAAGAAATCAAAGCAGTTGTGTGAAGAGGTAGTTACAGGGAATGAAGTGGTTGTTAAAGGGTTAAGGAGAACTGGGTTGTGGGACTGTCTTGTTTTCTAATGAGTGGAAGTTTTAATGAGTGGAAAGAAGACAAAATTAGTATGAGGAAGGCAACAAGATTGAAGGTTATGGTTTTATATGGAATAGCGGACTGGAAATTGCAGGCTGAGGATGAGTGTCAGATATTGTTAGATGAGGACAAGTGAGGTGTTAGGCAAGCAGGAAGGTGGGTAGCTGCTGACAGCTCAGAGGTGTGGGATAAGAAGGCAAGATCTGAGGGAGCACCGTGCAAAGGAGAGCAAGTGGGAAGAGAGGGGAAGCAGGAGCAGGCTCTCAAGCAGTAGAAAACGAGGAGCCAAAGACCTGGTGTTCTGAAGGATGATTCTCCTGGAGCCATTCAAACTTTCCACAAGTCTGAAGATTCTGGGTACAATGAGATAATTTGTTCTGAAAGCAATTATAGCCTGCACTGTTTGTTGCAGTAGCATAGTTAGCGCTGAAGTTCACAAGTGGCTGCTTGTAGAGCAGAACTCTAAAGCTGGGGATGGAGTCCACTTCTTTTTTTCTGTATCAAGAAAAATACTGGTGCGACCTCGTTTTTAACAGCTGTTCTATGAATCTACTGAAGAATTACTTAATTCACTGGAGGTAGTCTATTATTAAAACCTCCATATCAGTGAATTTAACAACCAGCACACAGTAGTACATGGCTCATCTACCCATTACTGTTTCCTGACGGTTTCATGAGTTGCTTTACTACTAATACAGAAGTCTTTTGAAGGAAGTGGACTTCTTGTTCATGAAGGCTTATTTCCCCTGACCTTGAAAGAGGAAAGGAAGGGAAACTTACTGCAATATATAATGATGCAAAAATAATTATATCTTTCCCAAAATTTGATAATGGAAGTAACTTTTTAGCCAGACATTCCTGTCGAGTTACTCTTACTGGTCTTCCTGGCTAAAGCACTTACTGCAAATAATCCTGTAAGTAGGTTTATATTGACTTTGGAGATAAAAAAGGATGATAAAATGAGTCAAATTCTGACACTTGGAGCTTTGATAGTATGCCTTCTTAAAAACTGAATGTATTCCTTCTTTATAAATGCCTGCATTCATTGCTAAGTTAGCTAAACAAGCAAATAACCGTATTTTGAAATGTAGGACAATAGTTTCTTTTTCTGTTAAAAGCTGGGTTGGTTTTTCAGGTGGTAGTGGTTTTGCTTTGTTTTGTTTTCTTGTGGTTGTTTTTGTTTGTTTGTTTTAACTTTTTAACTGCTTCCAGAGTGATAGTGTGCTATAAAATAACTCCACTTATGTGGAAATTGTCAAAGATTTCAAAGTGTTATTCAAGAATATGTTAGAAGCTCTTGAAAGAAATAGCAACTTCACATTTAGAGCGTTCTGAGAGTGCTCACTTTGATCATCTGTGCTTCAGTGAAAGGCAGTCTTTTTGTTCTCTTTTTTTTCATTCTTAGTTTAGCACTATTTTCCTACTTTCACAGGTCACTTTTTGTGTAGCACAGAAATGCTGATCAAGCGTGTTGGTCTCTGCCACCTGTAGTCACTTGTGTAAGCAGCCAGTGAAAATAAACTTTGCATAACAGTCCTGTAGATTTGACTGCATGCCAAAAAACACATGCATGATTCCTGACCCCTTGTACTGTAACAATAACACAAGACACACAACCACTTTTTATTACTAGACTTCTTACATAGCTACTGAACCATGGTGGAAGTAACATGAAAGCTCTGTGCTTCTTGTAAATATTAGCATTTCCATTCATCTCAGTGTGTGTGAGAATGGGATGAGGAGGAAATACCTTGGCTTTGACATCCCAGAGAAGAGGATTCGATAAATATGGGAAGATTAAAAAATCGACAATAAATCATTAAAATGTTGGGCTAACTACTTCACCTACAGCCTTTGTGTTTTATGTCTTTGGCTTCTAAGCCTTTTGCTGTCACTCATCCTATCTTGTATCTTCTGTCTTTATTACAAAGTGTTGCTTTTCATTTAGAGGCACTTACTATCTTGCTCTCACAAAGTAAATTAAGGGTTTTATATTGCCATTTGTCACTGAAATTCAAATGAGATTTTCTGTAGCACCCATTATGTGGCTTTGTGGTTTATCTAAATTATGCCTATGAGGTGCTGGGCTGAAAGCAGTAGTTGGTGTATCTCCCCCATAGTACCAGCAAATATTTCATTAATTTTCAGTGCATTGGTGTAAATTGGGGAAAATGTTTGCCTCTCTTGTTTGTTTGCACCTGAACTAGCCATTTATTTTTCTTTTGGATCTCTAATACTCTTTTTACTTCCTGATGCACAATCAGGAGACATTAACAAATTAATGATTCTGTTTGCTTCATAAATCATTCAGTAGGAGGTACAAATGCTAATAATTTTAACCAGAAAGTAGGATCCACCATTTGTCCCTTTGTTTCCCAGCTCTTGACAGTGTCTGTATTAATGTATCTAGAAATGAGGGTCTTTGAAAGGTGGCATATTCTCAGTTCGATCTGCATGCTGAGTGACAGGTTTAGCAAATGATAGTGAAGATGAGGAGTAAATAGTGCTCACAGCAGTAAAATAAAAAATAATACAATCATGATATTTTTGTCACATATTATCATCAGATAATGGCTTTGGGAAGAAGAGAATTAAATCCTGATCTTTTCAGCCATAGT